TGATGCCATGCAAAGTTCACAGCATTTATTTTTGCTTTGTGCCGTAGGAAAGAAATATCTGCCACTGCGCAGGTTTGAACTCTCAACCTTCCAAATGGAAGGCAAGCATCTTTACCACTAGGCCACCACGCTGCTCAGGATAACACTATATATTAACCCAAAAATTTCATGAACTCACTGAGATGAGCTAAGTATTAGAATTAACAGGGGTAATTATTTTCATACTTTTATTTTTAACATGACCTCTCCCAAAATTACTGTTTGTGTGAAAAGAAAGATGAAAACTGACTTATTTTTTTAATTTTTATTTTCAGTGTCTAGATTAAGATTTTAGTCGGAAACTTAACAAGTGACAACAGCTTAAGTCAAAACCATGTTGAGGTGTCTGCTCCTTGTCTTTTGAATAATTAGGCATCGCAAGATGCTAAAACGATACGCAAGCCTCCATTTTAAAATGAAGATTAACAATGAAACTTTTGCAGATAGAAAATTATTCCCAGAATTAAAAGGGAAAAGCTTGTAATTTGCCGATGTGCTTACTCTTGAGTGAAGAATTAAATCACTTTTTTCCCACACACACAATAAACATGAAGCAACCAGCATGTCTTCTAATCGTCATTAAGCTTTTGAGGTTTAATTTGTTTATGATGTGCTTGTGTCCATAGCCAAATTTGTCTGTAATTAAAAGGTCAAGTGGCAAAGTCTATCTGAATTAGGTGGCAGCTGGACTTCCTGATAAGTTGGCAAGAGGCAGGCTACCATTTTACCACCAGAATACCAAATCCATTTGCCTTTTTATATGCATGCCATGAACCAATCTGCAGCAAGAATTTTTTGGCATGTTTTGAGATTCTCCTACTCCTTTCCCTATTCTTCTTGCGACTACTGGGTGAAAGGAGTGGCCAAAATGCTGGCATTATGCAGTTAGTCCTCAAGGTACAACCGTTCTTTTAGTGAACATTACTTTTAGTGATCTGGGTGAGATCATTCGACGGCACGGGATAAAATATCATCAGTATGCGGACGATACACAATTGTATCTGTTCGCCCCGTGCCAACTCAGTGAAGCGGTTGACGTGATGT